TATAAAATGTAAATGTTAGTGAACCAACTTTGGAGTGTAAAGCATCTCAAGTGCTCAACCAGTCCACTTACCATTCGAGCATTTGAACTAACTCCAGCCTGAGTGAGTAAAGCAGCTCTGGTTTCACATAAAGGCATGTCAATACCTGTTAAGTAGTGGGCTGATGGGCTGAATTATGTTTAGCTAATATGGAAACTTAACAACACTGCATGTGTAGCTTCATAGTACTTTCCAAATTATGCTATGTTTGAGTTGTATTCTCAAAATGGGAGTGTTTGGAGTTTGGTATCCAAACTAAATAATTAAATTTGAGACACTTATACTCTAACTTGTTACTTAGAAAATTCTGGAGAGACATTGGTAGAGAATCTGAAGGCAGTTGCAGAAAATACTTCTGAGGTGATGGGATAAATTGTTGAAATGAGCAAACCTCAACCAGTCATCGCTCAGAAGTGCCAAGTAGACTCACAAGTAGAGTGACTTTGAGCTGCCATCAACATCTACATGCCTTAAATCCACAATTCGTTGGCAGAAAGGGATGGTAATTGTTCCAGACTACTGTGATTTGGTCACAGGTGCATAGCTTTGGGCAGTGGAGCTGCCTGTGAAGCTAATCAGCTCTTTATCATGAAGTCTCTTTAAGCAATCCTCTGACCTTGCTAAGCACTAAATAACTTTGGCCGGACATTGAATTCCTTGTGGATTTACTAACCAGTTTGTGTATTTATGTATTTCCTGTACAGGAAACTAAGTGGGGAGTTTTCCTGGCAAACCTGGTCCTCTTTGATTCTCTTATCAGCTTGAATCATTTGGCTTTGAGATCAAAACTCAACAAAATGATTCAGTTTGGTGCTTGTTTAGCTCCATAAATGCATCAATCCATTCATTATCTTCCAGAGTCGGGTCGTGGGGGCAACAGCTTCAGCAGGGAAGCCCAGACCTCTCCTTCCACAAACACCTTCAAGGTGTTCCCATGCCATCTGAGAGACAAACTGTGTCCAGCAGTTTCTGGGTCTTTCCCGGGGTCTTCTTTCACTTAGGAATGCCTGAAAAACCTCTGTAACGATTCGTCCAGAGAGCATCCTTATGAGATGCCTGGACCAGCTTAGCTGGCTCCTCTCACTGTGCAGGAGCAGAGGCTCTGCTTTGTGTCTGTCCCTGATAACTTGAACCTATCTTTACGGGTGAACCCAGCTACCCTGCAAACAAAACTCATTTTGACCATCTGTATCCACAACCTCTGAGTACACTATCATAGGTGAGTGTAGGAGGAAAACCAACAGAGCTTCGCCTTACAGCTCAGCTCCCTCTTTAACACATGGGACTGGCACAAAGACCACAACACTGCAGAAGCTGCACCAGTCTGTCTGTTGATCTCCTGCTCCATTCTTTCCTCACTCCTGAACAAAACCCTGAGATGCTTAAACTCTGAGGCAGAACCTCACCCTCGACCTGGATAGGGSAATCCACCTTTTTCTGATTGAGTACCATGGCCTCAGATCTGGAGGTGCTGATCCTCATCCCAGCTGCTTCATACTCAGAGAACCGCTTCAGCGAGAGCTGAAGATCACGGCACTCTGATGCCAACATGAACACATCATCGGGAAAAAGCAGAGGTCAAATCCTGGGGTCACTGAGCCCTTCCGTCCCTGGCTGCATATGTAAATGCATATACTGTTTATGCCACGTATACAATAATATAAACAGGTTTGCAGAAAAATTTAGTCTCTGTAATCACCTGAGGATAAGTTTTTAGTTGTAGGTTCTAATTGCAATTCCATCCAGGTTGTATTCTGCTACTTCTGGGTTGAGAAATATGTAATGTTCATGCATATTCCAAAGGCAATGTGTCTGGGTATTTTCAGGGAGGCTTGAATGTCACAAGCTGAAAATGGGATTTTTAGGATGCAGGAAAGGTGAACAAAAAGACATTTTCTATTTAAGAAAAGACTAAATGTATTTGTAAACAGAACGTGTGTCATGATGCCACACAAGTGGTGTAAGAATCAGGTTTTTCAATTTAGGTCTTGTAGAATTGAACTTAATGGGCAGAAATAACCTTTAAATATTAAATCAAAAGAAGATAATTGGATTTCCTGCCTTTTTATATTTGTTTTTTTCCTTAAAAAACAACTTAATGTTCTAATCTTACCTGTGCTGGACAAGAATAGTCCGTACAGATAAAAGTGGAGCAAAGTATATGATCTGAAAACAGCTCTAATTGGATTGCAGGAGGCTGCCAGGCCGACGTAGCATCTCCATCCAGGTTTCCACTTGGCCTGGCTGGGGGCTTAGCATTCAGGCCACGTATCTGCCTGTAGCAGTAATGAGAAGTGCCTCGCTGTTAATGAGATAAAYACAGACATTAGATTGGCTCAGTGGGGTGCTCAGAGGAAAGAGGAGGGTGAGAGAAATAGTGGAACGCGTTGGAGGGCAAAACGAAGGAGGGGTGGACAAATATGACATATTTAGCAGGAAATACTTGGGTAATTTCTTGAAAGAGTGAAGTTTGGCTTCATTATAACTTGAATTGAGTTGACGAGTTTATTTCAGCTGCAGAATGGGAGAAGAGGCGTTTCAGAGCAATGATAGTTTTAATGGTGGAGTTAACACACAGTGGTGCTAACGGCTAATTCAGTGAATAAAATGTTTAAATATACACACACTCCAAATGCTTTCTGACAACTGTATCCCTGAGTAGTCCACACCACCCACCCTACTAAAACCCCCAAATACCCACCCTCGTGTTTACCAATCATCTAATGTACTCAYAAGATTCAATTTTCTAAAATTCTATTTGACAGTTTATTGAGTTGATTTTGCTAACATCTAAAGTCTGTGCCAAAGTTTTGAGCAAAAATTGCATTCCAATTGTAGCACTGAATATACAGGTGCTGGTCAAAAAATTAGAATATCATGAAAAAGTAGATTTATTTCAGTAATTCCATTTAAAAAGTGAAACTTGTATATTATATTCATACATTACATACAAACTCATATGTTTCAAATGTTTATTTAGTTTAATTTTGATGATTACAAATGACAACAAATGAAAATCTCAAATTCAGCATATCAGAAAATTAG